GATATTCAATTTTGTTTTACTTGCGAAAGATGTATCGTAGAGTTACCAGGATTTTGGTTTCAGTAAGAACAAAAATTGGTGTCGTAATCAGAAAAACGTGCGAGCTTTTTTCTCAATTATTTCCTTACATGGGATGCTAACCAGCTACATAAGTACATATATAAAGTTAATTTAAATATAAATATTTTGCAATTAATTACTATGATATTTTTATAACTCGAAATATTACATTCCATCTGGGAAATTTATGGCTTTTTAATAAATGGTATACTTGTTAGTGTTTCATTTAAATAAATAACTAAAATTGAGACGTCACTGGGCTAACGTGTCTTCAATATAAGCTTAATTGAGCCAAACGAAATGCATTAAAAATAATATTCATTGAAAACAAATTAAATAAGTTAAAATTTACTGAATAGTAAAATAATAATTAAAATAATAATCATCACATACTTTTGTGATATTATGTATGTAGTTGTTGGGTCTTATTTTTTCAACTGTAGGCTCCAGAGATAACACATGGGTTTTGATGTTACATATCACTCCTGTTACATATATGTACATATAACTGAGTTGAAAATAATGAATACATACACACATTTATTTACAGGACAATTGTGTACGTTCTCGTACTTAGTCTAGTCGTGAATGGGTTAAAGTTTTGACATCCGGTTTGTTAAATTAGATATGTGTCCAAATTACTGTTCAGTGATACACCACACCAACTTGCCGGTTTATTCCCTACTTTTCCACATTGTGCTCTGTATTTGATGAGGATATCGAATTACCGTGAGGACATTGCTCGTCTTTCCCTATGCTTCCGTAGCCACTGCGAACTTCTTGTTTGAAAATGATTTGGTGCATTTACTAATTTATAACTTGTAATTGGCGTTGGAAGCCCCTAAAAATATGTATAATTAAGCATTAAGATTTATGTAACTAGAGTATTAGAAATTAATACATACATACCTAGTGGTGACATATGTTTTGTAGACTACATAAATGAATATACCCGGCTAGGATTCTTGAATCTTGAAAAAATAACGATATCACGAGAAAGCCCGCTAAATTCTCTTCAAAATAGACCAATCAGTTTTCAAAATTTCCTCCTTTCGAAGCCACACTAGCCCAAAGTCTAGGAATTCTCATGTCACTCGCGGTACGCACTCGTTCCAAGGATTATTAAGCTCATTTCTAAGCGATAGATTGTTTCTTGGATTCCAAACTTGTATGTGTTTTAGCACATGTATCCAGCTTCTCCTTATGTCGTGAAGACATAAGTCCAAGGTTTAGTTTAAGTGCTTTGGACTTACTTTTACTTCATCCGTTCAATTGTGAGGGAAATTTTATTAGCGCTCGGCATGAATTTCGGCGAATCCATTTTTTCGCGCCTTCGTGAATTTTGGTGACCTTTTTGACCGTCTCTTTCCACTTCTTTTTCGACAGTCGTCACTCCCAGTCTCAGTGGATCATTTTGTGGTACGGTCGACCATCATGCGTTCAGTTCCGATTTTTATTGAGCAATTGAAAAATGCCGGATTTTATTGTTTACCAAAATGTTGCTCAAAAATTGCAACACGTCGGTTTGGCCGTTCTGTGACTTGGGCACCTTGGGTCACAAAAAAATTCGGAACATGATTTCTGATCGACAATTTCATGGGGATTTCAATAAAAAATAGTACAACTCCCTAAAGTAGGTCCAACTAATTTTATCTTCGGAATGCATTGTACATAACATATGGCACTGCTAGGTACATACTTTCATCAATATGTAAAAGAAGGATAACTATTTTATTTATGTATAGGTATACATTATGTTATGTATACAATATGTATACATATTTAGATATTTGTACTTAATTGGCCATAAGGTTTTAAAGAGTTTGACAATATTTAAATAACATGCAACACATACATGCAATACAAATATGTAAATGAAGCAGTGTATGCAAAAGCATTTAAATAATAATAAAACCTGTGGACCCCCTTCATGGGTTTATATGAGAACTGGCCACGGTTGTCAAGGTTGATATCAAATTACAAATCGTAATCAATTTCTACTTATACAATTAATTGAATTGGTTGAATTGACAGTGGAGGAATTTTAATTAACATGCCAATCAATCTTACATAACTGGACATGACAATAAATATGTTTGGCAATGTGAACAATGGATCTAAATCAATCGAATTATTAAAACTTGTGTCGATACAAAAATGTAATTACATACGATCGTTAACAAGCACTCCTGTGTCACGTGGGCATAGCATAAATTAACCATTATTAAATACACTAACGGAAGTAAAGTGGACGGAATGTAAAAATAGGGGTGTGTTAGAGAATGATATTTTCTGCGACATGGTTTCGTAGTAAGTGGGAGAAAATGCAAATTTATGTACGCATAGCACCCGAAATAATGCATTTGCATGCTAATTCCCCATTTGACCTTATGTGTCTACCTAATGTACAAATGCACATTGTGGGGTTGGCGAATTATTTATTTACTTGGATATAATTAGAGACAGCTCGACCAGGAAATACATCTGCATGTCTTAAGCGATTATATCTCTCGGGCCTATCACCGTACTGAGTGCTTATTAGGAATGTCTAAACACTAGCCTATCTCAGATTTTGATCCATTTTTGGATATTTAGTAGCGATGCATAAACCAGGTCTGGTGTTACCAAGTGGTCACATTTGCCCCCCGAAAAGGCAACTGACAGGTGTGAAAAACATGAGGAACCTTGTTTCCATCGGCTTAAACAACAGAAATTCAAGCATGTGCTGGGATTTTATATTTTTCTTTTCTCCTTTTGTTCAGATTTTTTTCTAAGCAATCCTGAGCAGTGGAAGGTCTTGAAAATTAGAGAATTTTAAACACAAAATTATTTTACTGCTGAAGATGTATATTTACTAAACTGTAGTATTTTCGTAATGTGAAAATCATTAAAATCAGAGCACAACTTGATTTCTGAGAAAGGTATTAGGCCCGTAATTTTATTAGGTTTAGAGGAATGTGGGTGAACATCGAATCAAACCACTTTACGCTTTTGGTGTTTTACTGTTTCTTCGGGGGTTTATTGGGTTTCTGGGATGTTACTGTTACTGTTAGTGTTCTGGACACCGGTAATTTGTGATAATGTATGATTTGTTATGAATTCAACATTTTTACTTCAACTCGAGAAAATTGGCACAGTCGTCAAAAAATTGGTCGGCCTCGCCGTCCAATTCAAGAGCGTCAATTTCTGAAAGTAGCAAGTTGACCGGCATTCCTCCACATTCATCATTTCCAACGAAAACCCAGGAAGATAAATACGTGACCTGGATCCAACTGCACGTTTTACAACAGCGATCCCTTCCACGTTGGAAATACCGCATTTTTTAACCGGCTCACATTCCAATGTTTGATAAGTCCGCTGATTGCACAACAATTCCCTCGTTTGATACATAATGCACCTGATAAAATAGTTGTTGGCCTGTCCAATTAAAATTCTTGTGTCCATTCAAACAGTGCAGGTAAACTCGCCAGCGAGGAGTGATGATTGATTAGGGATTGTAATTAATATGCAGATCTATGTATTAGTAAAAATGAGGGGGGCAGGGTTTCGCGGCAACGTGTATGATTCAGGTTAATTCGAGATTTACCATGCGTTACGCGAGTTACAGTGGGTTTTATTAGGGTTTTTGGAGGTTATACTCGAGTTTCTGGGTCTAATACGTGTCTTCGTGGGTTTTATTCGGGTGGACTTTATTGACTGTTATTCGGATTTTACCCATTTGTATTTTTAATAATAACCGGTAAAACACAGTAAAACCCTAAACCCTGTGAAACCTAACAAAACTTCAAAACTCAGTCAAACCTCATAAATCTTCAAAAACCATAAAACAGATTAAACTTTAGTTTAATGTATCTAACACCTCAGGTTTTTATCTAACCATATATGACTACCGTATATCTCTCATAAATTGAATTGATTGGCGACTGCATTTTTATTGTCAATCTTAACACTGCTTATCATTTCTCCTACAAACCCATGATCACATTCAACAAGTCGTACAGATTCCCAAGGTTCGCATCAGTCTGTCCAGGGCCGTGAAATAGGAAACAAGTCAGTTACAGCCAAAATTTGTACGGATCAGGTTTTTATCTTGCATTATTCGAAACTGCTTAAAATCTTAATTCCTGAATTTGCCGTTGATAAATAAAACCAAAAATATTTTTGACTATATATAAATTTAAAACAAACAATGTAAAGATCAAAGGTCACAATTTTTCACCAATAATCTGCCACCTTTAGAAATTATTAACTTTGTTGGTTTACTATTTCAAAATTTTGATCAATTCATCCCACGCATTTTGTTGTGTGTACTCATCTTTGCGATTTTTATCTTACTCACTGCGATTTTTTGAAAAATGGAATCTTGAACTCTTCTTAATACATGTACTTTAACTTTTCAAAACCGTATTTAACAAAATCACTGTTGGTAAAAAAAAACTTGTCCCACACATAAAAATATTCGGCATGCGTAACTTTGTAAAAATACACGTCTATCCTCGGAAAAAAATTTCTGGGGATAGATTTGAAGCCAGACGTTTGACCTTGACCCTAAAAATGTTTTGCATAATTGTGTTCACACTTAAGCTACAAACATTTAACTAAAAATATTTTTGGTTTAAAGCATGGAAAATTTAAATTTAAGATTTTAATCTCTATCAAGACACCTCAAATCCAAGCATGGTCAGTCAAGAGCTCGGCGGATATCGGGTGACCACCAATAAATACATGTATGGTGAATATCCATATCCCGGTCAAAATATCGTCCAAATATCGATATGAATAAAAAATATCTCACTTTCCAATATTCAGACTCCAAATGTCCATGATACCCGCCGAGCTCTGGGTCAGACCAAATTTTGGTTGTAACTGTATTTCTCGATTTTCTTAGGAAATTTTAATTCCGAAAAACGTACGCAACTATGAATCACATAGGGATAAAAATGGTTAGTGTGCACGCTCTCCATGAAGCAGCCGCCCGACTAAATTCTACCGAGCTGGAGGAAATCTTGGCTGCCGGGGTGGATGTGAATTCCACGGATAAAGATGGCAACACAGCCTTGCACATTGTCATGAATAACGGTATGGATTTAGCAAATAAAACTTAAAGCTATAATCATTTCTATTCAAAAAATATTTTTTCATTCAAAATTCATTCAATTAAAAAAATTCATTCGTTCATTGATTTATTCGATATTTATTCATTTAATAATTATTCATTGAATCTTTCATTATTATAATTGTCATTGTTTTCATTATATCTTCATTATTCTTTTATTCATTCGTATATTCAAACATTTATTCAAAGTTTGAAAACACATATTCATTCATTATTCATTTTTGTATTTATTTTATCTCATTAATCGGGTTTTTCTAAATACCAAATGAATTAAGTATGAGGAACGTCCATACCTTACGTCATGAAAAAGGGCTTTATTGTTCTATGTTAAGCTTAACATTAAGAGGACATCGAAAGGGAGAGACGAGCCTAAAAATCGGGGTTTGTTTTTTAGTGACGTAATATATGGACGTTTCCATAGTGTGTACATAACTTCCATAGCGACTAAAATTTGTGATTCATTCTTTATGAATATGAAATATATGAATAAATGTTTACTAAATATTTGTTCATTCAAAAATTTTGAACGAATTATTCAGTAATTATTCATAAATTTATATACAATGAACAATTAATTTTTTCTTTCTTTATTAAATAAGTGAATGTGAATAGTTATGTATAAGTAAAATTGCATCCTTCATTCACAGAATTTCAGGGTCACCTGAATGAAGACTTGGTCACCGGGTGCGTCGACGTCTTGCTCCGATACAAAGCGAATCATCGGGCACCCGGTCACAACAATCAGACACCGTTGGAGCTCGCAATTACGAACAAGTTGTATTCATGCATCCATTTACTTCTTAAAGCGGGGGCCGACATGGTGAGCAGGTACGCATTGAAAAATGTAAAATTTTATGTGAAAATTATGCCTTTTAAACCCTTATCCTCGTATCCTGTCCCAGCTGTCCCCACAGTTTCCGCGGCCATTATTCTGCAAATCTATCTATTCTCTGTTGGCATAAAGTTCTCTCCTTTTTTGCTCTCTGTTCAATTAAGGTTTAATACAATTTCAGCCTTGCCACCGAGTTACCTAACGTCATATTAGAGCGGTTGGATGACGGGGTAACATATTACCAGGATACGGAGGGCACTGATATCATCCAGTTGGATTGGAGGTGAGTTAATTAACACACTCTTAAAAATACGTCGTCTTACCGTAAGACTCTTACAAGTGCAACTTCCGAGGTGCCCGTCATATATAATTCTGAGCAAAAATTGTAATTAATTTTTGAAATCGCGGGTTAAAATCTGGAAAGTGAAAGGGTTCTTAAAAATCCAGATTTGGGCTGAATTTTTTTAAATTCTGCCAAGGACGACAGCATGCTCATTCTGGACAAAGTGGCAATATGGATCGGCTTATTTCTGAGTATGAACAATTTAAAATTAGTACGGTCATGATCCGTGATAACCATCTTTCAAATCTCCCTTGTTAGAAGCAATGAACTCTTCATTTTGTAAGAAACTAAAGGAGATGAACAGGTTTTAAAATTACTATTTTGATACATGGAAGAAGGGAAGGTTGAGACACAAAGATTCAAAATTCCAAAGCTCATACGTATACAAGAGAGCGTTAAGGAAGTATACTTCATTTCCGTAAAATTCTTAAAATCAATTCATTTTGTTGCTTTCAAGAAACATACATAAATGTATGCGTACAAATATCTATATCATAAGCTGGAAATGTTTGTCTGCAACGGAAGTGAAAGTAATTTTCCGTGACGGAAGTAAAAATGGAGAAAGCTTCATTTCCCTCGCTAACAGGTATTTCAAGCAAATTATATAGTAAAAAATGATTCGCAGGAATTATGAACATTCCGACTTAATTTTCGAGAAAATCAAATAATAAGCTCTAGCCCGGCGGGAGACGGGCTTATACACTAGTGTATAATAAATTGTAAAACTATTGTTTCTTGTTTGGTTTTCGAAGTGTCTTCGATTCATTGCTGCGCAAAATTCGCAATTTCGAAAAAAGTTATGTTAAGAATATAATATCTTAATGAAGACCCTTAATTTATTACCGACAATTTATTATACATAGAAGTCAATTTGTTACTATATTGTTACCACTAGGTAGAATTGCATTGTATTTACCTCCGCCGGTAAAAATCATACCACAAAATTATTCAACTTGTAATACGACCTGGATGTGTTACTATCTATTTACGAATCAATAGTATCATACATGAATAATACCGCTTGGTATTGTTTGAACACCGAATTTCGAAGATTTACTCGAATTTATGTATTAATTGCAGACCTGTGTTGGGCTATAGCGACAAGCGCTACAAGGACGAAAACAGCATAAAGTTACCTCCAGAAAGTGAATTCATGTATAAAACTATTACCGCAAAGATAAAGAACTTGGTGGACAAGGAGGCGATAATTAACCACCCCTTGGTCAAGGCTTTCATCCACCTAAAACTTGCCGAAATCCCGAAACGCTACAAAATGATTCAAGTATTCGAGGTAAAGGTTTTTCGCCAAAAGTGTTTTCGCCAAACTGACCAACTTCCTTAAATCACTTTAACACTTGTCATTTACACGATCTGACCTTCAAATATTTTTTGTTTATTTACCCATCCAGATCGTTTACTTGTGTCTGATGGCCTTGTTCATCTACACGCTGTACTTTCTTCGCTGTCCGCTAAATGGTTTAGATTCCAAAGGAACGACTAACACCGACGGTACGACCTCCACAAGTACGGACTCCAGCAGTACCATCGATCCGCAACAATTCACCGATGAAACTACGGAAGACTATATGTTCCCTCCGGAAGAGGAGAGCACCGGAGAAAAATGTGATATCAACATTATCACCGTTTTCCAATGCTATATCGTGCTACTCCTGACGCTCGTCTTTTTTGGAAGGGATGGATACTTGGTGTACAGAGTGGGACGAATCCATTTTCTAGGTATGCACACTTAAAAATGAGTTTACACATTTGAAGATTTTATACACCTAAAAATCCAGTATTAAGATAATGTTGATAGTATTAATTAATATATTTAGCACCATACCTGTTCAATTTCATTCATTTAACTGATTATGATAGGGAATCCGTCCAAAAAATGTCATTCAAAAGTCATTCATCTCGATTTCTGACTGAAAATTTTCATTCACATTTATTTTCTTTCAAATTCATTTCACTTCATCGGGCTTCATTTCTCACTTCGCTCCATGTATTAAGCACAGGGAGAAAAATGAAAGGAGTGAGAAATCCTTTCATTCATCTGGAAGGTCAAAATCCTTCAGTATGCAATTTTCATTCAAATGACAGGAAGTTTATTTTAATTTAGTATCATAATCAGCCAAACGAATGAAAGTGAACAGGTAAATATGCGTGCTGCTTAAAAATCGCTCAGTAAAGTGAAGAATGGTGCGCTGAAAAATGTAACGTTGTTATTTTAGAGTGGAGGGACTGGGTGTGGAGGATATCATTATTTGTCAACTTGCCAGTCTTATGGCCAGCACTGTACCCCTCGGATGACTACAATTTGACGTATAGTTACCCCTTTTGCAGTGTAAGAGCTACTTCAAGGGTGTCGTCATATTTTACTCTGTTTGGGGGAACGTCCATATATTACGTTATCAAAAAGGTGCATGGGCAGCTTTTGATGGTGTATCTTACTCATATTAAGCCGTATAGAAGGAGGGACTGGGTGTCCTAAAAATCGGCGTATTTTTGATGACGTAATATACATATGTCCGTTCTCTAATACACTCTTAAAAATAATGAAATCCTTTTTGAATAGAAAACCCAGTCTGAATTCCATCCAAAACAAACCATACGAAATGAAATATAGTGTAAAGCTAACTTGATAAAGAGTAAAGTTTACATTTAGTATAATTTACTTCACATAGAATTCAGACTGTGTTTAAGTTTCATAAGGGTGACACTATTTTTAAGGGTGTATCTTGAGGTTAATCTTACTCTCTCCAAAAATTTTTAGATGTCCTACCTCATACAAACTAAATACTATCCTCTTACTTAGGCGTGTCACCTCATTTGCATAAATCTCAATAGCACATTTTCGGCGATACGGGCTTTCCATGTTGAGTAAATTCTATGACTCTCACAAATGCGTTAAAATATGTAAATGAGGTGACAGAGCAGAGTACGAGGATAGTATATACTTGAATCAGTGGTTAGGGGCCGTTCATAAGTTATGTAGTGCAAAAGTGGCGAATGCGATTTTTTAGACCCATTGTCGTCAAGGGGGGCATGGACCCTTAAACCCCGCCTCTCGCGTTACATAATTTCTGAACGGCCCCTTCGTAGATTGTCTAACCGCTTTAATTATTCTTAAACATTTTTTAGGTGGCAATTCTCTTCATTTCGATTCACTCTTTAATTCAGCTTGAGACCTTTAAAATTTTCGCCGTCTATGTGGAGACCTTTGTTTCGGTGGGTTTTTTATAAATATGTCATGAAATTCGAGAACACTCTTAAAAATCTGGCAACACTTATCAGGCTGCCACTATGTACATGTGTATGACTCTTCCGTCATTGAGACCGACTTTAAATTTATTACTTACCACGCAGGTAACATTTCTACTCCTTGGTTGCACTTATTACCAGGACTATTACAAATTTAAGTAGTGTTATTCCCGGTAATAAATTATTACCGTGTGGGGAGAGTCACATACATACATACTTCTAGTTTCCGCCTAGTAATAAATGGCATTGGTACCGAATTTTTTAGGATGCATGTAGTAAACGATATAGTATTTAATTAAATAACATCAAATTTTCAGATGCTGATAACCGTGTGTAAACTGCTTCTCCTCTTTTCCCCGATGTACTTAGGATTTTACATGGGATTTAACCTAATGTTTGACGACGTGAGTGACTTCAACACTTATTAAAAATAATAAATACAAAAAAGTACAAAAGAGTACACAAAATATTTATACTTTTTAACCTATTAGCAATTACGTATTTAATTTATCCACACCTTTACTACTCGAAACTTTAAATTTCGAAATAATTTCGAAAATTCTACTTACAAATAATGTTAACGGTTCGGAAAAGTAAATTCCATATCGAGAAAATTATACACATGTATGTACTTGTGGAAAACTTAAGGTTTACTAAACTTACGTAAACCGTAGACCTTGTCTTTCATCTTTTTTTACAGCTCGCGAGAGTGTTTTCCTTCATAACGATGTCCGTGGATGCCGGTACAGACACCTTTTCCGCGATAGGTGACGCCTCGAAGGAGAATTCTTACACGTTTGAACTCATCTCGAAAGTTTTCGCGTTCACGTTTATCGTCGTGATGTCGATTGGATTTATGAATTACGTGTTGGCCACGTCCATCGACGATGTTCAGGTGGGTACTTATCTAAATATTACTTGCTGGAAAAACATCCGAGACGTTATCTGGCAGAGTTTATTTATGTACAAGACACAAATAAATGAACTTAAACTAACAATGGCGACACAAACCATGTTCAACCCAGATTATTTTTTTACCATTGCAGTTTGCAAGTGAACCTATTTAGAAACAACGGTTAGTGCGGCACTTGCGCAGATGCGAAAAATTCAGCAAGTTTTGGGCTCCGCAAGTTCACTACAAACTTAGTTGCGCGTTCTGTAAAACGCGCAACTACCGCCGTAAGACACAGATTAAGAAACAGAATTTTTTCGGTGACCAAAACTTGCTGAATTTTTCGCACCTGCGCAAGGTACTCAAAAAATTATCTGAGTTGCACAAGGTTTGCGTCCCCATTGTCAAATCAATTCAAGGGTTTAATGCACCCTTTGTCCTAATTTTCTAAACGGATACTTACCCGGGAAAAATTACTTCGCTGATGGGGGAATAAGCTACCAAATTCTTAAAAATGATGCCTCCTTTGGGAAAATAAATCCACTTTACCTAATATTAACTATGCGATGACGCCAGCGGTCTCGCTCGGATTTTGATGAAACCACGATAATTATGTAGCCTTACATAAAAAATTGAACACGTGTTTCGGGATTTTTTATAATGCTCAGCTTAAATAAAGTTGTGATGGTATAAGTCGAAAATTCGCATTTTTTCCCTCAAAAACAAAAAAAGAAAAACCTCACGAGAAAAATGCGAATTTTCGACTTATACCATCATAACTTTATTTAAGCTGAGCATTATGAAAAATCCCGAAACACGTGTTCAATTATTTTCAGAAGGCTACATAATTATCGTGGTTTTATCAAAATCGGAGCGAGACCGCTGGCGTCATCGCATAGTAATTAAACCATACTAGAACCAGACTAAACTTATTCTTTATCGTGTGAATGTTGCCTTGCATTGAGTATACTTAATAAAGAGTTTAGAGTGCATTTATTTGTCAAAAGGGCAACATTATTTTTAAGAGTGTAAGTATTATGTATTTAATATGTTGACAGAACGTTAAACATTGTTTCTTTTTTACCGGTAGGGTCTAAAACAAGAAGCCAAAGTTACCCGGGTGCTTCGTCAGGTTCGCAACATTTTGCAAGTTGATCAGCGCAGCAGGTCTTTCAGATTGGTGAAGCATGATCCCAAAATGGAGACCAGGTAATGAGTAGAAGCTGAAGGAAGCCTTACAAGGGAGATCTTACAGCACATGCTCTCCGATTCTTAACAAATTTGTGTCAATCCATCCCAAATTTAATTAGTGTGCAATTTGTCAAAGACATGATGTATTTACACTCTTATAAATGGGGTTACGATTATAACCAAAAAGTAAACGTATGTGACTCTTCCCCCGTGGTTATAAATTTGTCATCGAGTGGTTACCATTGTCATCGACTATTTAATTATGAAGTTTCACCGACTTGGTATGCAATTGTCACCAGAGCTAATAAATTTATAACCAGTTCGTGACAAATTCATAACCACGATGGTAGAGTCACATACATACATACGTTTACTTTTTGGTTATAATCGTGACCCGATTTCTAATAGCGTACCTATGGGCACTTTTGGCTGAGATATTTGAATCCCAAGAGGAGACAACGCAAGGTAAATTTGGAAATTGTAATTTTTTCAAATTTAAGGCGCCCTTTCTCCTTCCTGGGAACAAATATTGTTTCGGGAAAAGTGTCCATTCGGAGATCGCGTCTTGTACACATTTCATATTATTTAAATTTGTGATCGATTGAAACTAAATAATTTGCTAAAAATCGGAAACCATTCGCTGGGAGAGTTCCCTTGTAAAAGGGCAAAACGTGTTTAAAATTTGTCACATAATAAAATCATTTTTCCAGCTACTTTTACACATACAAACCAATTGAGGAAAAGCAAAAACTAAGTGCAGAAATAATGCTGGAAATTACGTTGTTGCTGAAGGCCAAACGGGACGCTCAAGTGGATGAAGCTGGAGACGAACCAGATGAGTCTGGCACCTCAAGAGCGTAAAGAACAATTAATTCCTGGATATTTAGTAATTATTAATTATTAAATTCGTATTAAATTTCTATCGTTATTGAAAAAAAAATTAATAAATCAATGACATGTAAATAAATTTATATGTATTTATGGATACCATTAAAAATGCGATAGAGTGAGATACATAAATACTAAAGGGAGGGCAGCCTGGTGGATACGAATTTGGCCTTGAATAACCCCAGAACGGTTTGTCGTAGCGGGTCAAAATTTTGAACAGACGAGCATGTTATCCTCAGATAGTTGTGTGTAAAATTTCAGCCCTCTACTTTCAAAAATGCCTCCCGTACAGCCCCCAGAAGTTGAGACACTCATTTCAATTTTTTCCAAACTCCGTCTAAAAAATTCGGTCTCCGCAGAAAGAATTTCTTTTTAAGTATCCGAACCCAAAGAAGTCTATTTGACTTATATCAGGGGATTGTATAGGTATTTCACTATTCGAAATGATTTTTATTCCTAATCTAGCTTCAAGGTCATTTGCATAATCTTGGGTCAACTTTATCGTCTGGGAAGACGCTGCGTCACGATAAAAATTACCTTATTTATTTTTTTACCGTGCTATTTAGGAAAATGTTACTCTAAAAGTGGTTTCGAGACACGGTCAGCATATTGCTTTGCAGATTTCTTCACTTTTTGGGGGACTTTGATACGTGGGAGGACACCACGATCGGACATTGCACCCACAACTCAAAACTGTTTACAAAAGTTCTCCTCACGGGAAAACACCAAATTCCGTGAATTTTTTTTCGGCATTTGTCGTGTAGTAAGCTCTTCGAGCTCAATTAGTAACTTGTAGAGAAAATAGTGCTTCGTCAAATGTGACAAATAACTCACTCCTATTCCTCAACAGAAAATTTAAATAAAATTTTTTTGTAAGCACGAGCCAGATTTTTTCTGGAACTATTTGAAATGACTATCTCAGCTTCTGGGGGCTGTGGGGCAGGCATTTTTCAAAGTAGAGGGCTGAAATTTTGCACACAACTATCTGAGGATAACATGCTCGTCTGTTCAAAATTTTGACCCGCTACGACAAACCGTTCCGGGGTTATTCAAGGTCAAATTCGTATCCACCAGGCCGCCCTCCCTTTGGTACATACTATGTTTTGGTATTGATTTGATAATACATAGATAAATTAGTAAGTATAAATTAACCTTGTTTCTAAAGTTAAATTTATTCATCATTAAAGTAAAGCTAAGTTGAGATGGGTAAAGTCAAATTACTCATATCTATGTATGTATGTTTACTAAATACGATTGTTCTGTTTATGCAATCTGTTTACATAAATATACAAACAATTTTTGGGGAATTTTGTCGAAGTTATATACATAGGTTTCCGAATTTCAAAAAAACGCTTGATTCGGGTTGTCGAGAAAAAAATTGCGAAACTTTAGGTAGCCGTAGCCTCTCGATATATCTTTTCCTATTATCGAGAAATACGCTTCTCCGTTTCCGGTTTTTGACAGTTTAAGCCCCTCCAGCAAGGGTCGGATATTATTACCGTTACATTCACAAAAATCAGCTCTGCAAATCTTAACAAAAGCTACTTGTACATATTGTGTCTCTCGAAATTCCTGTTTTTCAGATTTCCCTAAGAAATTAAATTCATTGCGGAACTTTCGCACACCTCTTATCGACGAAATAAACATATTTTTTTGGTGTGTTTTATCTTCCGTTCATGGCGAAGTACCCAAATACATATGTGTACTGCATTAATTACCCGGACACCAAAATTTCTATAAAAAAGTGTATTTCATTAGTATTTTGTGGAAAATTCGCCTTTCTTATTTTGAGCTTAACACCACTAGGATAGGGAAGGGGAGAGTGGGTGGTCTACAAAAATCGGAGTTTCTCGATGGCGTACTACATATATGGACGTTCCTTGTGTTGAAATAAACGTGCTAAAATTATCCGTATAACGTGTATCTTTAATGGCCTCACTTTTCTACTTTTTCAAAATTAACGTTTATTTTCGTATTTCGTAGAATCCAAGAATTTTTAGAAATTAATCGGAATTCCCCAGGTGACCCAAAATCGACAAATGTGACCTCAGTATCAATTTCCGAAGATGCCTTTTTGTACGGAGCCTGCGATGGGTAAATATTTAAGTGATACCGTTTGGTACATATGTATGTGGATTTTTTTTAAACGCATTTTTTGCATTGTATTTAATACCATGGTACATAAAAATTAAAAAGACAAATGTTTGGAGGGGCGATAGCAGAAAAAAATATTCAAAAATGTCTTTCTTGCTAGATTTTCGTGTAATAATACATGCAGAAAAGAACATCGATCTGGTTTTCTGCTTAAAAAATATCCTGCGAATCTCACAAGCAGAGATTTTGAGGAATTGAAAAAAACGTGCACTTTTCTTATGCATCCAGAAAACTTTACTAATATTCATACAATCAACTGAGAGAACGAATGGATCGGATCAACGGGAAGAATGAAGAGGGCAAACATTCCAGCAAAACGGGAAGTTTGAGAGGGTTGAATTCAGAGAGGATGGAAGAATTTGTGCGGATCGGGTAAGTTAAAGGGTTAAGTTAAAGTACGAGGGTGGTTAATTTTGCTGTACTTAAAGTTATTTATATGTACAATTACATGGTAATGAAATATTTTGAATGATTGTGTTTTATTCAAGTGTTTTGTACGTGTTTTATACAAGCCATTTTTTGTGCATTACAGAAAAATGTATCATTTCTTAATTGAGTTTTCAGGCGTGCATATTTTCTGATCTCACACTTTTTGAGGACGTATCAGGCCACAATGGGAACATATAATACCTACTGAAATTAATCATATTTATGTGCATACTATTTACAATTGATCCGTTTATGTTCACATATTTGTACCTAATATTTTCTAAATCAGGGTTTGAGCACCGGCTTTCTTGGCTTCCTTTGGTGATTCCGCATTCGAATTATCAGCCTAAAATTTTAATACAGACTGAAAATGAAAGTTGTGTTAAATTTGAACAAGATTGAGTAAAAAAAAAGAGGATGGCGCAACAATTGGGTTAAATTCACCCAACTGTTGGGTCGTCCTCTTTTTCCTCAATCTTGTTCAAATTTAGCCAAACTTTATTTAGTCTGCAAGTGTTTCTATAATATTTCGTGATTCAATTCACGCCGTCTTTGGTAACTAGAAAAAGTCCGTTAATTTTGAAAAAAAAATTCCAGAATTAAAAGACGACCTTGATCATGGTAAGTTTATAAAAAGCGTTCAAGCTAATTTTACTCAGAATGGTGAGAAAAATTTCTAAAGGCTTCTCAATTTACGGAATTGCAATGTTATCAAGGGCTGACAATGAAGTTCTCCCAACGTATGCTCCCAGATTTGGAGCAAACTAGCGTCAATCGATCACAAATATAATTAGTATGAAATTTGCAACTGGAACTATCTGCCAATGCCCTCGTTTAGCGGGGATGTTGCATAAAAAGAGGAGAATATGCACCCCAAGACTGGCAACTTTTTCATTTTCCAAATTTGCTCGCATTTTTCCCCTCTTGGGATACAAATATCTCCTCCAAACCTGCGCATTGGAAAATAGTTCCTTTTGCAAACTTCGTACTAATTATTTGTGATCGATTAACGCTACTTTGGTTCAAATCTGTGAGCATACGTTGGGAGACCTCTATTGTGCCTCATTATATATTGAGTCTTTTTCAAATATTCATACGCAATTTCTGTAGCATTATGTACATATGCATCCGCTTTAGGTTTGATACAGATTTAAATAACCTACATACCTTAACAATAGCTATTAAGGACATCCCCGCCAATGCTGCATATTGAAAAATTTGAATTATTCCGATCGGTAATATGAAACCCTCAGATCCATAATTTTCCGCGAAAACAGCTATGATCGTTATTACACCTGCGACACATCCTTCGTGAAAGAGCATCATAAAAACGTTCCTGGTAAAGGACACAGTTATTTCATTTTGGGAAATGTTCGTAAAATACGCACAGAATATAGATTCTACCAGAAGAATCGATCTTATGTATTCGAGTGCCGCTTATGGAGGAACGGGGAGAGCCAACCAAATAACTCGGTGTACATTTCGCCCACCTCGGGGAGGCGCCTACGCATCATCATCATCGCCACATTTCCTGGCATCAAAAATGATGATGAAATCACCATTTTTGTTACATAGGTGGCGGTGGCACCCCTAATTGTGCACCAGAACACACCGTCGTAGAACATCAAGTTTGTGAAGACGCGGCTCAGAAACTGAAGAGAGTATGTTCTACGACGCACATTGTAATATTAGGCCAGGTCAAGTCCCAAAAGTCCTGGGGGCGTAACTATGTATATGTATACATATTTGTAATTCATGGGAGGCAGGGAAAACACTTTTAAAAAAATTTGGGGACCACACCCCCTGTGGGGGTGGTTAGCCCCCCAGGGGGTGTGGCCCAAAAATGTTTATATTTTTACAATCAGCAACTCATATGGACTTTAGGTGCAAAATTTTGTGGACTTAAAAAAATATCTGACCAAAATATACCATTTTATATGCCAAAAAACATGGGTTTTCGGGCAAATTTGAGGGGGGGTGGCGCATTCGGTCGGGACTTCCCGACCTAGTTCTTCCGGTTCCTGATAGTCATAGTGGAGTTCTATAGGCACCATAAAAAAGTCCGTCGGGAACCACCGACCAAGGAAGTTATTAGGTGTCAAACTTCTCAAAAACCTGTTCTGCGATTTTACAGAAAACGACAGTTGCTGTCAACGTTTAAGAGTTTGAGTCGCATATATAAATTTTCTAATCCTAAATATGTGCAAGCTTAAGAAACTCATCAATTTACTTAAATTCATCAAAGTCTTGCATCACCCCAAAACCTTTGGAAACAGTTTGTTACCATTTCAGTGTGCAGGAAATAATTTTAAGCGTCATTTTGTTTAGTTAAAAACACATAGATAAGTATGTAAAGGTTTCGCATTTATTTTCTCCCCAGTAAGTTTTCACTTCCCGCGCGGAGACAAATTCAGCTGCTAGTTTGCTAGTTTTAAATAGTTTGCTAGTTTTAAATAGTTTGCTATTTAAAAAATGTTTAAGTGCTGCAGAACTAAACTTCTTATCAGGGTTCTATGATCGAGCTATGGTGTTGAACTTCTCATGGTAAAATTTTCAAAACTAAGCATTAACAGGTTCAGAAATAGCGGCTGAATTTGTCTCCACGCGGGCAGTGAAAACTTACTGGGGAGAAAATAAACGCGAACCATTTACATACTTGTCTATGTGTTTTGAATTAAGAGGACTGAGCAAAGTTACAAAGTTAATAATTTTTCAAATCGCTGACATTTCAAAAATCTTGGATGAATATTCCTCGTTTTTGTTGAAAAATTATCTGAATGAGTTGTAGTTTCAGATCCATTGAGAATTTTTAATTTTTTCGAAGGTCAAAAAATTGAATGTATTAAGGACAAAGGTCACAAGGTCAAGGCTTACAGCCCCATAAATGGGGTATCATGGGAAAGGTCTTGATGAGAGGATTCAGAATATATATACTTTGTTGGGTCTGGGACCACGCCCTGATTATTCAGAGGCCAGTGAACATTTTTGAGTTTTGGTTTTGAAGGTATACAAACGTTAACACAGGAGCAGATTGAGAGCTAACACAGCAGAAGTCCGAAGAAAACTCAATAATGCTGATCGGTCTCTAAATAATCAGAGGGTGGTCCCAGACCCCATAAAGTATATATATTCTAAATCCTCTTGCCAAGACCTTTCCAACTATACCCCGTTTACGGGGTTATGCGAGATTTGACCTTGCGACCTTTGCCGTTTGCTTATTAATTTTTTTTAACTTTCAAACAATTAAAACTTTGATAAATAAATTTAAAAAAACAAAACTAAGGCGAGAGGCGCTTTTACAAACACGAAACAAGCCCTCCCATCAACACCCCCGTCTCGCCGTGGCCCCATTAATATTTTTATATTTGGGGGGTGTAACCACAATTTTATTTTTACAATTCTTTCCTGTATCGTATGCAAGAATTTCAAAAACCACGTGGGGTATATATTCCAACATGGGTCCATTTCATTTTCGTGTGTGTCGCACCAATGTCTGAAATCAAACTGCAAAAGTTTATTTATCGTTTACCGGTGCAGCTAGCTCAATTCTGAAATTTCTGAATGCAGATTTGGAATGTATTTAACAGCATGACAATCATAGCATGATTGCCTATGTTAAAATAATTGTTTTTAAGAAGTAAACATTTAATTTTTTGTACAATAGTTGATAGAAAGAGTTCGGTTATTCTAAACTGTTTCAATAACAACCGATTGAATTGAAACTTTGAGATCCTGCTTCTGGTATGGATCTTCTTTAAACAAATCAACAAAAAAAGTTTTTACACATACTTTGTTGATTCGATTAAACGTTTTACATAAATATTTCGGAGATTTTAATAATTTATCCAGACTCCGTTGATGAATGCTACATATTGCTAGTGCTACATATTGAAATCGAAATTAATGCAAGAAATGCAGACAATAGATTTTAGTCTATTGTCTATTTTCTTGCCTAATTTGCAAGTGATTTTTAAAAATGAAATGCAATATAAAATTTAAACATTTATCAAATTAAATGCAGTTTACATTAGTATTAATAGTTAAAAGTTAAATTGTGGTTACACCCCCCAGATATAAAAATATTAATGGGACCACGGCGAGACGGGAGTGTTGATGGGAGGGCTTGTCTCATGTTTGTAATAGCGCGTCTCGCCTTAGTTTTATTTTTTTAAATTTATTTATTTTGTCGTTTTTAAGTGAACAATTTTTTAACGCCGTCATAAAAAATCCAAATCACCCTTTAATGTCCCTTCAGTTGAAAATTTTCTAATTTCAATTCATATTCGTCCAAACGGACCCATTATCAACTCTGTAACAAATTTCAGATCGATTGGATGATTTTGAAAATCACCCTACACACCACCCCTCGCGTTGAAAAATTTTAGAATTTCACTTCACAGGCTTTCATTTGGACCCATTATCAAGGTTCATGTCAAATTTCGGCTTTCTGCCACAATTTTTAAATTTTGGGATATAATGTACCCCATCCACTTATGTATATGGCCCCCACAAGTCCTAATCTTGTTTGGCCCCATCTTCGAACTCGATCGTTGCATTGCCCAGACAAATGTTTGTACAAAAGTATGTCTAAATCGAGCAACGCTTCAGAGAGTTATTGAAAGACAGACGGACATGACGATAAGCCCTGGTTCCACGATTGCTTGACTTTTGGTATCTTAGGAACTGGCATTGTAATAGAATCCCTAAGATACCAAAAGTCGAGCAATCGTGCCCTGGTTCGGGTCATCATTTACACATATAAAAAATTTCTTAACAAAAGTTGCCATGGATGTAACTGAATTTTAAAAATTTCAAACCTCCATTACTTCGTCATTTTCCACCTGATTTTCATGACCCTAAATAATGATCTTAATATTTTTTTAAGTCCTTTCGATTTCCCTGAGCCGATTTTTCACTTTCAGCTGAATATTTTGAGATACAGAAAAAAAGTCACTAAAACGAGAAATACACCATGAAGGTGTGAACCGATTAAGCCCAGAGATAAATCTGCAATACTACAAAGCATTTACTACCCATTGGTCGAAACCGCATGTATCTACGACGTATGGTTCTCTCACAATCCCGTTTGACTGTTTTCAAGTGGGCACTTAACTGCATACCATGGCTTCGCCGTAACCATGCACGTATTTTTTTGGGTGCATGGTTACGTTTGGTGTCTCGCCTTAGAAAAATGTAACTCATTCAGATCCTTTTTCAAAAACAATGAATAAAATTCATCCACAATTGTTGAAATGCCAGCTGTTTAAAAAATAAAAACTAGGACCTAGGTCACAAGAAAATTTTGAACGCCACACCCACTGGCTTCACAGACTTGGTTTTCGTCTGAAAATACGCTTCAGAATATTCTTCTTCTAATCCCGGCCATAAACATTTTTTTAAAGTTGGTCGAAATGCAAATTATTTTTTTTGAAAACTTTGATACATTAATTCAAACCTTTTCAGCAACTTTTTAAAGTGTTTATAGCCGGGAGTAGACGAAGAACATTCTGGAGCTTTTTTTTAGACCAAAACCAAGTCGGTAGGGTCTGACCCTAAATCTTTCTTGTGAATACGTTGAATAACATAAAGCGGTATAGACGGATATATGGCGTGGCATATTTCCCCTGTGGGCTTAAACAAAATGACGCTTAAAATTATTTCCTGCACAATGAAATGGTAACAAACTGTTTTCAAACGTTTTGGGGTGATGTAACACTTTAAGCTTGTACATGCTTAGAATAATTATATATGCGACTGAAACTCTTAAACATTGAGAGCAACTGCCGTTTTTTGTAAAATCGCAGAACAGGTTTTTGAGAAGTTTGACACCTAATAACTTCCTTGGTCGGTGGTTCCCGACGGACTTTTTTATGGTGCCTATAGAACTCCACTATGACTATCAGGAACCGGAAGAACTAGGTCGGGAAGTCCCGACCGAATGCGCCACCCCCCCTCAAATTTGCCCGAAAACCCATGTTTTTTGGCATATAAAATGGTATATTTTGGTCAGATATTTTTTTAAGTCCACAAAATTTTGCACCTAAAGTCCATATGAGTTGCTGATTGTAAAAATATAAACATTTTTGGGCCACACCCCCTGGGGGGCTAACCACCCCCACAGGGGGTGTGGTCCCCAAATTTTTTTAAAAGTGTTTTCCCTGCCTCCCATGAATTACAAATATGTATACATATACATAGTTACGCCCCCTAGGACTTTTGGGACTTGACCTGGCCTAATATTACAATGTGCGACGGTGTGAAGAAGTCAACCAATTTGGAAATTCACATTATGTACATATATGAAACAAAGATGGTAGACTTTTATGTATAAGGATTACTAACCATCGTAAAATATCTAACAATGCGATGGTGTGAAGTGTAACCCTCCAAAATTTGGTTGAAATTTTAAACTTCTGTTATCCAAGTCAATACAACCAACGTTGCTTCAGGCAGTTTGTGCGATGGTTGGAATTTGCCAAAATATTTAAGGATAAAGTTGAAAAAGATGCGATTTTTAGCACGCGAAAGGAATTGAAATTGAGTTTGCTTCCTTGGCCTGGTAAAAATCGCCCGTTTTTGAAATTTGCCCTGAAATATTTTTTCAAATTCCCACCATTGCATAAACCTCTGAAGAAACGTTCGTTGTACCGGGTTTTAATGAAAAATTTTCCGATTTTGGACGCCCTAGTGAACGCCCCATATAGTAACCTTATTTTGTTGACGTAATATGTATCCATCCACGTTTTTCTACTTCTTCTGAGATACATAACACTGCTGCCGTTTTGTTAATTATCCGAGATAACTCACCTCAGATAAGTAGCTTCCGTCACTAGGAACCAGTTCATGGTGACAGCGTAACTTGAAAAAGAATATAGTTGCAGCACGCTCCATGGAAGTTGAGGAAGGGAAAACATTGACATCTGTATAAGAAACGTACATAAATGCAATTCTAAACATAAATTGGTATCATTTTAAAATAAATGAATTTCCAGTTTGGTTTAAATATTTGTTAAACATGAATTTTTCACTTATGTAATGGTTCAAATCATACATAGCTACGCAAAGGATTAAAATTTCATACTACTGTTCGTTCAAAATTGATATGCATTAAAGTCCTCAAATTTTTTTAAAAGGTCAAATGGCCGAAGTGGCTGACAACGATTTAATTATGCACATTTTTTTTCTACTTTTTAAATGAAAATCATATGAAATTTGGAAAATATATTCAAAACCAATCAATGGAAACCAATCATCCGCCAAATAACCTTTCAGAATTTTTACTGCATATTAATTTTGAATCAACTGTAGTAAAATCAATAAATTGGTTTTACTATATTTAATAAGTAGTAATCTTAAGAAGATGCATTAAACCCGACTAAAAATCTACGAAAACCCGGCAAGAACCGCCCGGGCTTATATTTCTTTAAGAATAACCTTGTCATTTAGTGAACCGTTTGTATATTTACATTTTATTGAACTTATTAGTTGTGAAAACATGTGTATTTATGTACCTACCTGTGCCCCACAAATTAGCAGCGAAGTCACAAATGACGACCATCCTATTAGCTGAGCCTTACCAACCGAATAATTCTTGCGAGATTTTAGGCGGAAAGTATCCAACTTTATTGTCGTGAAATGAAAAATTAATTCAAATAATATAATTACATATGTACAGTCTAAATAAAAATGAGTAAAATTTACTCAATTTCTAATAAAAAAGATAATGACACAACCAAAATAAAATTTATCCAAAGTGTAGTTAAATTTTTCAATTTATCAGCTTTCTTTTTAGCTTTTGTTTGTGTCATCGTCTTTCTTTAACTTACGAAAACTTGAGTAAATTTTGCTCATTCTTATTTGGAATGTATACTTACTTGAAAACGTAAATTCCACACAGTTGATAACGTCATTCCAAATATGACTGTCGCAACAAGTACAGAAATCATGGAAATGCCACCCAAAATATTGTGGAACATTATGCTGCCCCTGGATGCCTCGAGGATGGTTTCCCGGACATCTATGTATGTATGAATGAATGTATTTAGGAAAAAATGTGAATATTTACTTATATGGAGGTACACCCTTAAACATAATGTTACCCATTTGAAAAGTCAAGGCACTCTAAATTCTGCATTTCAAAAACTGTACTAAGTCCAAAGTAAAGTTAGTTTGATAAAGTTCACTCATGATTTAAAATGGAGCCTTTTTCAAGATACATCAGGATCATGGCGAGTTATATGAAAAAAGCCCAACCAAAAATTAGGAATCACATGGCACTTATCTTTCGTTGAATGGTGGCCCCTTTGAAGACAAATTTTGGGGCCAAAGTTCAATCGTCCGCCTTGATTTTCGCCACGTGGAGGAAAAGTTGGATAAAATTTACTTTTCCTCGAAAGGGCCATTCAACAGAATGATACAGAAGTGCCATGGGATTCTTAATTTTTGGCTGAGTTTTTTTATATAACTCGCCATAATCCTGATGTAGGCTGAAAAGTGTTACATTATGACACTCGTATAGGAAGGAGTGTATAATTTTACTGCCACTTTAATAGTAGCAACTTTAATACCGCGAAATCATTACCAGTGTGACTGTACCAGACTTATAACAGTGTAGTTTACTGAATATAGAGTTTAGAAAGGATTATGACATTATTTTTAAGAGTGCAGATATTTCTAAAATACACACTCTAAGAAACCCGGAAACTAAGTTATTACCAGGGAGAGTATCTATGTGGCTTTACCACATGGTAATTAATTTATAATTGAGTGGTAGACATTTTGTTACCAAACCGGTAATAACCCCTGTCGCGAAATTTGAAAATATTATCAGTTGGTAACTAATTTTCTACCACTCAATAATAAATTAATTACCATGCGGTAGAGTCACATAGATACTCCGCCTGGTAATGACTTTGTTACCGGGTTTCTTAGAGTGCATATATTTAATTTGAAACGTCACCACAATCCAATTTCTCGCTTTCGTAGTAGAAATATGTATCCGAGTGGTTAATCAGGGTTCCATTGCTATCAAAGCAGGCCATCCGTTGGTAATGCGGAAGAACATAATCCTTTAGGTGGACAGCTTTAATGGAGGCAATTATGCCAAGTGCTAATGACAAGCCGAATGCGACGGCTTGAGTTAGCATGGTGATGTGGAGTCTATATATTTCATTTAAAGTAAGTATGTATGTGTACACTATTAAAAAATAGTGTTATCCTTTTGAACACGAAAAGCAATCTGAATTCCAAACTAGGTAAGTAAATACATAAATCATGCTAAATCCAGAAGAAGCTTTACCTTGATCAGGTGTAATTTTTAAATTGGATTTTGTTATCGTCGGGAAAGCTAACTTAATCCCTCTAGAGCTTACTCACGTTAACCTTTAGGTATGTACTTATATCGCAAATTGAGCGTATTAACATACTTTCGAAATTGACGACATTTCGCGAAAGGTTTTACTGGTAAACATGGATTTTTTTGTGGTAGCCTACCCAGTTAAGGGAACGTCAATATACTACGTCACCAAAAAAGGTGTGGATGATTTTGAGTTGCTTATCCTACTCGTGTTAAGCAGCTTAACATAAGTAGGATAGGGAGGGGGTGGGTCTGAAAATAATTAATTACGTAAAAATACTTCGCAAACTCATTCTCGTCACCACAAGCGAAAGAAATCCGTACAAACGGCGACAAAATACGTATTTTTATGGTAGGTTTGCGAAGTCATATTTTGCGAATACCCTTACATACAACACAGGTTTAACAATTTCTTAACTTTGTATTTTAAATGAGTTGCGATGCGAAATTATACATAAGGTATTGGAATCCAGATTGCCTTAATTGTTAAAAATGATGACATTATTTTTAAGAGTGTGCAATTACTTCAAATTAATTAGTTTAAATTAATTTACAAATCCGGCACTCGAATGATAAGAGGAAAAACGAGTTCAGTTTGAAAATTGTAAATTTAAAGAAGCCCACCACTTACGTCATGAAGGACTTTTTGACAACAGTAATAAACGTTGGTGCTACCGAAACTGCGGGTAGAATTGTGAATGCCAATCCAAATGTCTCTACGATGTACCATGGCCGTTTCAGTGCGGACGCCGTTGTCATTAAAAGTATCTTGAATTTTAAATTAAAAATTAACAATTGAGTTACAATAATTAAAACCGGAATCACTTCACACATCCAAAATTTTGATTTGGATAAGATTATCAGCTTTTCTGAGTTCAACGGTCAAAATCCGGCGTTTCGACTTTGCCCCCTTGCTGAGTGGGAGGAGCTTAAAGTTGGAAAATCACGATTTTTAGCTCAAAGGTGGATCAATATTTGGAAAACGGTTTTCGTCAAAAGCTTCCTATTTTTTGATACAACTCTTTTCTAGCATTTTTCCAAGTTCGCAAAACGAATTTCTCAATTTCGAACCAAGAAGGTAGGAAAAGTTTAGTGTCACATAACCCTATAAGTGGGGTCGCCTTGGCTAAAAATCGGAGACAGGCGCGATTTTTCCAACCTTCAGCTGCTCCCACTCCGCGAGGGGCTCAGTATAAACGCCGGAATTCAACCGTCGGACTCGGAAAAATTAGCTCTTTAAACGCGGAGAATCTTATCCAAATCAAACTTTTTAGTTTCCGGTTTTCATTATTGTAACTCAATTATGAGTAAGATTATACATGTATTTACACAGCCTGCATAGAAACCAATGGTGAATACGGATACTTCAGCAAAACCTTCTAGCATACTCTCCAAAATGCTTCAGATCTTAATAGTGAATTTCAAAAGGGTCGAACATTTTTACAAATCACTATTGAAATTCGTCTTATTCAAAAATTCATAACTTTTTGCAAAAAATTGAACAGAAATGAAGAATATCTATGTCGAAATATTCAGGATGAGCTGAGCGATTAACACAGACAGAAAATCAAAAAGGAAAACAAATTATATGTAGGTGGAGTAATAAAAAATAAGCTTTTATCGCAAAAATTGTGGCTTTTAACCTTTTTGACATTTAAAAATATCACAACGACACCCAACCATAGTTTTCCTAGGCTTCATCTATGCAAAAATGTAGAATTTAGATCTGAGACACTTTTCATAGGAGCAGTATAAATGTGTAGAACATTGAGGGTTTTTAACTTTTACTAGGGGACTGTAAACACACATGTGTGCTTCAGTTACATACGTACCACAATTCCGGATGTAACGATCATCAAACCAATTTGAATTGTGCACAAAATCCGAACGATTTCAGGGTTAAAATAATTCTTCCAGATTTCATTTTTGGCCAGATTATTCTTCCCATTGGATGTACTCAATGCCATTTTAACAAAACAGGATTCAAAAAGTGGCAATTATTTTTTCACGTAATAGCTACAGAAAATTGGAACTAAATTGTTACACTTTTCCCATCTGATCTACCCGAAATGCTAGATGTGTATGGTCATTCGTTACGCTGATTCAGTCAGTCATTGCTTGTTCAGTATCTTACAGTAAAGAGAAGCATATTTGTATCTAGTAACTGTTATCATTAGTAGGATATATTTCGCACTATATAGATTTGCGACATCTATGATGCTAATTTTTTATCCTCGCGCATATTTATGTACATACACTCTTAATAACTCGGTGTTAATCAAAGTTGAGTCGGTTGGACATTTTTTCGGAACCATCCGAAGTGAGTCTGAAGTTTTAAGTTGTTAAAACTCTTCTGTTAAAAAAATTTACAAACCGAAACGAATGATTCAGATTCGGTTCAGATGGATACTTTATCCAAAATTCGGAGCACTGACTCAACTCTGGTGTTACTCGTCACCGAGAGGTGACCATACCTACATATGTGTCTTGTGTGTGTGACCAATTGGTGATAAAATTAACACCAGCCAGTCACAATTTGGCAACCATGCGGGCAAGATTTACTAATTAGTAGATAGTACTATGCGTTGACGCCATAAATACATGAACACTGCGCGGTGGCGATTAACACCGGGGTTTTAAAAGTGTATATGTATGTACACTCTAAGAAATTTTATTACCACGCGGTATGCATATATGACTCTACCGTACTGGTAGACACAACTATGTAGTTGTATCTACCAGCACGGTAATATTACTGCGCGGAAAATACCTAATATTTACTATGTACATAGAAAAATAACAGTTCAAAGTTGGATAATGAGACTGAGACTAAATACTGCTTTACAGCAGTGCTGGAAGAATTGAGATTCCCCAATTTAACCTGGCTATGTATTAGGTTAGCTACCAGTTGGTGGTGGAAATGTTAGCAGAGAACATTTTCTACCACCTATGGTAATACCTAATGTCATCACAAAAGCGGTTATATGCTATATTAGGATTTTATTACCGGATTTTTTAGAGTGCATGTATATATCTATACGTATATATACTCAGTTTTAGATGTTATTCAGACAAGGACACTTACTTACGTACGGACTGGCAGACTAGCTTTCCCAGATAATCACAATGATAATAATATTCTGCGAATAAAATTTTTATAAGCCCATTAGCCCGTTATGCATAGCTGCATAACGGGCTAATCCGTTCATGCATAGTTCACAATATATCTATTTGTCCATGGTGCGTGTCTTAAATGGTGCATAATTGTCCATTTACATATATTCAAAGAACTAATGGCCCAAAAAAGTGGTCCATTTGTCAGGACAATCACTATATGGATCAAGTCTATGATTCATACTTTTACGTTCCAACACATTTCTATGTACATACATATATACACTTTTTAGTGTAATGTTCTCATTCTCCAACAGGTGCATGTCTAGATTTTAGAAATATAATGGGGTTATTGAATTCCAACAGGAAGTTGGATTATGGAGTTATCAATAGACAGGAAATTTAAAAATTAATTTTCTAAAATTAGGAAGTCAAAAAATTATTTTTTATTAGGCGACCACAAATTTGAGGAATTCAAGTGAAAATTGGACACGCATGAGGATTTAAATAAATTAAATCATAATTTAGTCTCATGAGTATAATCTTATAATTGAGTTTCAATCGGCATTTATAAAACGACCCCCACCCCCACCCAGATCCACCCCCACCCCCACCTAAATCCACCCCCACCACCATCAAATCCACCCCCACCCCCACCTAAATCCACCCCCACCACCATCAAATCCACCCCTACCCCCACCTAAATCCACCCCCACCACCATCAAATCCACATGTCGGCGGTCTCAACTTCGAAAGTGGGGTACCAGCAGCCAGTATTGAAATTGTTAAAACAATCAAAGAATTTTGGTACAGATTTGTGATTATGTATAGTAGCATTCACCGATTTGGTCAAGACGTAAATTAAATAGAGTGAAACGTCCGAGACTTGAAATGCGGAAGGGAAAAATGGCTCGTTTTGAATTATTAGATCGGGTGGAAGAACCCAGTTGTTGTCTGTTTGTTGATTGCCATTATGATTCCAATTCCAAGTTATGTGTAATTGGCCACATTTCATATTCATGAAATTTGGCACTCCATCCGGATCGATGGGTTGGCATAATTGCGAAAATTCATCTTCTTCCCATGTAAGAAGAAAAATGGCAAAATATTTTGCAAATATACGGCTGTAATCTGGTAAATGTGGAGAATATAAAAGTGAATATGGCGAATCCTTAAAATAACTTTGTGGAAATATAGTAACTAAAAGAACTCGGAAATGATTCATATTGAAATATTCATCTTTCGGAATTTCAGAATGAGTGAAATGTTTCTGTGTGTGGTAATGTATCCATTGGCCAATGACATTTGCAAAATTATGATCAAAATTTGCACTTGAATTTGAGTTGAAAAATAAAACAACTAATTCACATAACCAGCCACGAGTTTGGAATAAGTCCAACTTTTTGTGAGTTCTTTTCACATTGTAGGAATCCTGATAGGTGATAGATTCAGTGGAAATGGAAACGGGAATATTATTCGTTGTGGGCAAGTTTTCTGTAGAAATTTGATTGAGAGTGATGTGTTGTCCTCATGGGTAGTTTGGTATGAGGAGATTATTAATTTTCGGGCTTCTCAACGTACCGAAAGTGTTCCACGGAATGTCACCAAATGTCTGATACGTTAAGATTGTGGCTGCAATCAAGATTAAATTTACTTTTACAAATAAAACAGACATTGTGGGTTGCCTTAGCTGGCTTGATATCAATGACATGTAACCACGAGGTATGTTGGGCATGGTATGCAAGAATGGAATGAGACCGATAAAGGTTATGTATTTAATTTATATCTATATTTAATATTTATGTATATAGTTCTGCATGAGTACACATTTATGTATTCTTCCAGAAAAATAATGAGTTTTTTGAGAATTCATGTAAATTAGGACTTCATTCGTCTAGGAAGTGGGTGGTGTACATTGTATTGTAGAAATTTGTGTAAAATAATTTCAAGAAAGGATATAACAGGAAGTGTGGTTAATAATTAGGAATTTTGATAACTAAATACGCGTCGACTTGTTTTGCATACGACATGGAGACGGTCTTAGATGACAATGTCGCGGATATCACTTCCTTGGTGAAATCAAATAGAGCAGAAAAACGGAAACACATGAAACAAAGTCTTCGAATACTGTCCAACATATCAGATATTGATAATACATACATATACATAGTTGCAAATTCGTATTGGATCTACATATTTACATAAATAAGTACTTATAATTTCTATATAGTGCATGATCTTAGAGATTTGTTGTTGTTATGTGTAAGAGTCTAACTATTCCCTGGGGGCTGAAATTTACTTCTTTAGTCTATCATATAAGGTTATTTGTTTGTTGCTACATTTGAGTGGGGGTGCCACTCTAACCGACCAACCAAATTTTTGTTTCTTCCAACCAAAAGCAATAATTTTTGCAACTCTAAAATATGCAACCAATTCTTTTTTGTAATCCAACGAAAATGTAAAATATTACAACCAACTAATTTAATATATAAATTGCAAAATAATTAACTGGAGGCAGTAAAAATATTCAAATAAATGAGAAAAAGTTTGTATTTAGTCAACAACTAAAACTTTCCCGACACTCTTTTTCCGACCTTCTTGGGGTTTACTAATTCAATCGATTTCAAGATTCTCTAGGACATGAATTTTTTTGATGATGCCATTTCCAATTTATAGGCTTTCAACTATACTCCTTCTTCAAAAATTTGACAAGAACGACTAGAGGCAATCTACTCATCCTCAGTGCTAGTACCTGTCATGTGGCTCATAATTTATATTTTGAGTATTGGATTTTATTAAAAGGCTAACCTATTTTTTCCAGCAAGATTAATTTTGCTGGGACAATTGGTCGTTTTCTAATTGAAGTAAACTTATTCCCCTTCGAAGCATGAGCGTGTGGATTTAAATTGGGGCATCATTTTTGGAATACAATTTCGTCTTGAAGTATTGAGTCTTTGCCATTAGTGAATGTGATTTTGTTTTTTTGCTGACCGGGAAATATCTTCCTCTGATTCATCGAAATCGGTTTGATAATTTGAACGTTCAAAATCGGACATTTTTAACAGTAAAATATTGTACAATATTGAAAATGGATGGAGAGATTTACTGTATATAATTCATTGGTTATATTATTTTACATTTTGGTTGGATAAAAAAACTCGATTGGTTACAAATTTTAGTGTTGCGAAAATTATCGCTTTTGGTTGAAAGAAAAAAACATTGGTTGGGCACTATAAATTTGACCCATTTGAGTGGTATGACGGTGGTTGTGTGAAGGACAAGTTTTTGTCGCTGTCATTAGTATTCGATCACATTCTCTTTTTGGAAACTTGTGAAAGTGATTGACTCACTTTCTGTTGCAATGTTAATTGCAAGATCTCTATTTCCTTGACCAACTGGTTTAATCTAGGCTAGAAATAGGTACATTAACAATATATAAAGCAGCAGCAGAGCAATGGAAGAACAAGTCTGGGGGAAGGCCTGGGAGAGGCTGGAGGTGATGGTAAGATGCAACCGTGTCTGCCTCTGCCTGATTACCCCAATACACATGTAATTGTGTGAGCGAATAAGCGTAGTAAGCGAATAAAAAGTCTTCTCTCGAATCTCCATCTACCTCCAAAAAGTCGTCCTTCTTTTCTCACCAACATTTCGTGCAACGAGTTCATCCTCTCTTCCCAGCTCCCTAGCCGACGAAGTGGGGTTTTTTAGAGAACCACAGGAGTGAAGCATTACGGTTGGCTTATTCGATATTCAAGGCAGACGATAATTGTGTTAATGATATTGATCCAAGCTTCATATTAAAATCGTAAACACTAACAAGGGATTAAATACAACCTTATGGCATCAGCCCTTCGGCTGCTCCTTCAAATATTCTTCCTAAACTTGCAATCTTTCCAAAAACAACGACATTACAAGTTCCGAACAAAAAGCTAATAAAAATATCACTTTTAATGGCAGTAAATGTTTCAGCAAAATGTTCCTCAAATTGATGGCAAAGTATACCTGTCTGATCCCGAATTTGCTCAATGTTGCTGCTTAAACCATTTCTAATACTGTTATCTAACCCTCGAATATAAACCCCCATGAAGGCGTTATTCTCCGTTTGGTTTAAGA